ATTTAAAACAATTTTTATACATATATAACTTAAGTTTGAAACTATTAAAATAATTTATCATCAATTTATATATTAATATCAAAATATTTTGATAGAAACATTTTACCGTCTATATTATTTGAAAATTATGATAAGTTTAATTTTTTAAAAACAATTTTATTCATATTTGACTTAAGTTTAAAATTATTGGAGTGAATAATTACCAATTTATATATTAATATTAAAATGCTTTGATAGAATTGTGTTTTTAATTAAACACCTTTTTAACGTCATTTAAAATTAATCGGGTGTAATTTAACATATATTCAAAGTTTAACTGAAAGTATTATTTTTTTAAATTTGATAAGAACAAATAGAATTCCACACACCAACAACTCTTTTTCACATCATCATCATCATCACCATCATCACCACAAACAAACTATTATATAATGAGTATGATAAATATGTAAAATGACCAAGTAAGTGTAACACGGATGATAGCAGTTTGAGCCTCTTAAGTATTATTCCATAATTTAATTCCTAGAGTTGTATATGAAGAGCATCTCTTGGGAGAGGATAACTCTTTAAATAATGCACAAATTTCTTGAGAGATTAGTCTCATAGCTCTTGACTGTGGGGATACCTTAAGAAACCAACAAAAAAGTAAATTTAACTTTTATGTTTTTAGGCAAAAAAAAAAAAGGAGTTAACTTTTATGAATTCAAATATATGTGTGTTATATGATTGAAATTGAAATTTTTAAACTCATAATTTTTTTCCCGCCAATCCATCTAGGATTTATTATATTTTATATATTAAATTATTTTCAAAATTGAATGTGTTGCATAATTTGGAATACTCAAAAAGGACATGTATCACAATTTGTGATAGCTAAAAAAGACATGTAACATTCACTCGTAACTTATTATCCTACTTTTATATATAAACTAGTAAAGCACTAGGTGCAATGTAGGAATAAGAAAATATTCTAAAATTTAATGTAAAGCTTAAATAAATTAATTTAATTTGAAAATACATATAGATTTGAAGTTTTTATTTGCAGCGATCAAAATATAAGAAAAAGTATATTTTGAACTTTTAGAACACAAGCAAGACCCAACAACAGAAAAAGAAGAGTGAAAAAAACTGAATAAAAAAATTAAAATTTGTTTGAAGATATTAATTTGAAAATAATTTTAGAGTTAAACAAATGTTAACTGGTGATGGTTATCTATGGTTAATCATAATGGTTTTGAAATGAAAATAAAAATAAATGAAAATAGTTTTGAAATGTTTATATTTTTTATTTTTAAAAATAATAAAATCTAAACACGTTTTTGAATTTTTTTTTATTTTGAAAAACAGAAAACAAATGTCCAAAGCCTTAGCCTATTCCCATCCCGCCTGCTTGAATTCTGATTACATGCTCTTTACACATAATTAGTAGCTACTAATCAGAGGGTGTGAACAGAGCGCCATGAGGGAGGTGGCGGATGCACAGGATGTCAGATACGAGATGACAAAAAAAGCGGTTATGCGTTGCAGCAGGAGAGTGAGGGCAGTGTCTGCCATTGCGGGAGATTTTCTGTACGACTTCTTCCTCTTCTTCCTCCCTTCCCTATGCTCTCTTCATGTTATCTTTCTTCCATTGCTCTTTCTTTCTGTATTATTATTATTATTATTATTATTATTATTATTATTATTATTATTATTTTCCACTTCCGAGCTCTTACTCAAGCCGAGTGACTCTGAAACCTTTCTTTTCAGCTCTTGCAGTAAGCGCTATTCTTGGAATAATAGATTGTATCTCTGCAGCAATAGTAGTCGTTGGCCCTAAACGTAACTCTTCTGAAAATCCAGGAACCTGCTGAAGCATCGGCATCGATTCTTGTGCAATCTGGTGTTGGGGGAGTCGTTAGCGCTAACTGGTAGAAACATTCTGTTCTTGAATCTTCCATTGATTGATTGTGCCTCCATCAAACTTCGCCCAGCATATATGGAGAGTTCCACGTGCTGATGGGGCGGTTCCTTCAAAAATTTTCTTGCTATTTAGAATAGCTGAGGTTTATACTGATTGTGCTGAACCTTTTAATATCATTAAGTGGTCATTTGAAGGATAACCATCCATTCACACGAGTTATTGAGGCAGCCAAGTCGCTTCTCGTATAGGATTCGGTCTTTTCTTGTAACTCTGCTTGTAGGAAAACTATAGATTGAGCATATAGGTATACAAGTATGGCTCGTGTCCATGACTCCATGTTTATGTTGTTGTTGGTTTTTTTTTTGTTTTTTGTTTTATATATCTATGATCATCCACACCCTTGTTGTTTGATGGTGTTTGATGGTGATAGGATGTCGATATTATTAGGTGGTTGTTTTTTCTCCAGTATAAATTAGGCTGCAGTTTACAACAAACTTGATGTTGACTTTCTTTTTGCCTTGAGTTTATGAATATAAGCTGTGAAATAACGTTCTTGAGCTTAGATTGTATCCAAATGCTTTATTTGGATTTTATAGAGGAATGATTTTCGGTCATCACAATAAATTTGCTTTCAGGAATATGGTTCTGCATGGCAAATTAAAGTGAATATATATCATATTCTTGATCATCAGTATACGTGCTTGTGATGTTCAAAAAGTAGTTCCAATTCCCGAATTTCCTGCACTGGTCTGTAGTGCCCATGAGCACGCAGAGTCTCTTTTGTACTTAGCAAGTCCTCTTACTCCACATGTTAGCTTGAACAGAGTTTAATTTCTTTGAAACTGATATTACATAGATCCCTTTGCTCATTAAATCAGTTCCAATAATATTAAATCAATACAGATGTTTAATTTTCATGTTTTCGCAGCAAATACAAGCAAGAGGAGGTTGCTATTCTCATTGTAATGGAAGCAAGTTCAATTTTGGGTCCGACAAATTCTCCACAAACTCAGGAGCAGAGCCAGAGGCACGTTTCACAAGCATTGCGGATGCCTTCCTCTCTTCTTTTGGAAGATACAAGTAACCCTTCCCTTTCTCCACAATTTCAAATAACTTATACGTCTCGTGTTATTTTGTGATTGCACATAAATTTTACTTAAATTTTAATTTCTAAGTTTAAAGTTTGCGTGTTCTGGAATCTTGTAATGTATTGCTATATATACAGAAGTCTTTATTTATTTATTCACTATATTCTTTGAGTTTATATGGCAATGAACATCTATCTGCTTAGTAGTGGAAACAAAAGAGGGAAGAATATGGGATCTTATTTCTCACACAGTCACACGCTCGCCTAATTTGTCAAAGATTTTGCTAAAACGCGTCTTCTTTAAATTCTTACTGTAAATTTTAAAAATATACTTGGTTTTCCATAATAATATTAAGTACGTTAGTCTTTCAAAAGAAAAATTGTTTGTGTTCTATATTATGGGGAAAAAAATCATAGAAGTAGTAAAGTGCTTTTGATTTTGGGTTAAAAATTATTTTTATTTCTATAAATAAAAGTGTACAAATAATCTTAAACTTAATATGAAGTTAATTTTGTCTCTTAATTTTAAAAAATTGATCTTGTGTACCTCTAACATTATTTCTCTATTAAGTAGATCTGCATTTGAATTTTTTAATATTTTTTATTATAAAATATTTAATAGTGAGTCCCATAATTTATTTTTAATATTTTTATAATATAAAAAATATTTTCTGTCTCCTCCCTCTCCCTCTTCTTTGTCTTCCTCTAGCACCGCCAAACCAGACTAAACCAGGGTGAGCAACACCAAGTTAATTTAACTCGTTTCCTTTGTTGCTGCCTTACACTGCTTCGGGAGCCAGCAACGGTGCACTTGTTGGTCCTTCCTCAGCCTCTTCGGGCCCTGCTGGTGCTTCCACTGATTACAACAATAACGAAGATAGTATTGGCGCCTCCTTGCACTAGGCAGATAGATAAACTAGCTAGCCACCTTCTATTGCTCCTACTTCTCCTACCTAAGCTTGAATCTTGCAACTATGGGTACCGGAGGCTACCTTCGTCTCCACAACTTCATCATCCCGTTCGACGAAAACTCCGACTATGACTCCTTTTGAGAGGCATCACAGATGGACATCAAGAGGAGGGGTTGATGGTGGCGGAGTTCTCTCTCTCCTCCTCTTTCATGCATGCATACATCTTCTCAAGACTCGCCCTTGCTCCTTCGTGATCTTCGCAGTGGATCATGGAGTTCGGAGTGTCGAGAAGACAGAAGCTGTTGACGGTGATGATGAGTGTCGGAACCATGGCCCCACCTAAGCTCAAACACAACCCTAAACCGCCCACACAGTGCCATACTTGTCGTCCTCGAAACTTTCTTGCTCTGGTTCTGAAGCAAGCAACTTGGGTGGTGGGGAGCGAGAGAATGTGAGGGAGGAGAAAGAGGCGAGAGAGGAGAGGGCTAATAAGGTTCGCTCGACTCTGTTAGGAGTGATGACCTCATTGGGTTCATGATGATTTGGCTGATAGATTGATAGAGACTAGAGAGGATCGAGAACTTTATTTCTAGTTTGCTTCTTCTGCTTTATTTTGCTTCAAGTGGGTTGAACACTGATGAGTCAAGCTTGAACCAAGCTTGTCTCCTCCGAACTCGTCTCCTTCGAATTCTTCTCCTTCATCTTCTAACTTGTCTCTCCCTCCCTCTCTCTCTCATGCCCAGAAACCCACGAGTCAAGCCTCTTGATATAGGGACGCCTTATGCATCCCAGGTTTAGTTGCATGGCAGGGACAAGCTTTCTACGTCCTCATGTAGATGATGTTGTTTTTGGTGATAGATGCACTCTGGTGAACCATGGAGAGAGAGCTTGAGGGTGGTGATGAGGGCTGTAGATGCACTTTGAAGAGGGGGGGGGTCGAAGGCATAGAGAAATCTTAATGGTGAATGGAAACTCTTATCGCCCCTTGTACATATAGAGGAATCATGGACATGGCATCGAGGACCTGCTTGCTTGAGGCACAATCAACAAACAAGAGCTTGGGTTTAGCTTAGCTGATGACGACAGTGAGAGCGTGAGCATGATGGAGGAAGTAGCTGATGATGTTGAGGACGGCGCTGGTGAAGGGAACTACGAACTGGAGCTCATATTGTGACGTTGAGAGAGTGGGGAAGAGAGGAGAGAGGGAGAGAGAGTGAGGAGGAGAGAGAGAAGAGAGGTGGATGAGAGAGAGAGGGGCGAGGTGTAAAAACATAATTAAAAAATATGGATCAGGCCCCACTAAAAATAATTAACAACAGGGGCGCGAGGAAATAAGATTTTGAGGTTAAGGATAAAATTAACCTTTATTAAGTTTATAATTATTTTGTAAACTTTTATGAATTAAAATGACTCTTAACCCTTTAATTTAATATATAAAAATTACATCTTTTTCCTTCCTACATCATAAAGCTAAAATGTTTAACTTTGTTTTAGGGGATGCAAGAAAGATATACCTCAAAACTTGTGTGCCCTTGATGAAGTATGCATTGAGAGGAGATTGGGAAAATGCACAGCCCTTTTTGTTGCATCAAAGGATGTTGGTAAATGCCGGCATTGCCAAAGGACACCCAACAATGTTGCATCTGGCAGCAGGAGCTAATCATTTTCATTTTGTAAAGCAACTCTTAAATTATTTGAATGAAGATGATTTAGCATTACAAGATTCTGAGGGAAACACTGCCCTTTGCTTAGCTGCTGGAGTAGGAAACATAAAGATGGTTGAGATTATGTTGCAAAAAACTCCTTCCCTGCCTGGAATTAGGAATAGAGAAGGTTTGACTCCTCTTCATATTGCGGCTATACAAGGAAAACGTCAAATGACATCATATCTATATAACAAGACTAAACAAACACTTGAAGATGTCGATCGGAGGAAGTTATTCTTCATCTGCATTCAAAATGATATTGTTGGTAAGTTTATTATCCTTAACACATGAATTGTTGTGCGTTAAATTCATAATTATATTTATATTCTATCAAAATTGTGTCGTGTATCTTATTTAAATAATATTATTTAAAATTTCAATTTATTTATTTAATTTTTGAAAATATAATCATGACAATTAGAAAAAGAATATAAGTAATATTAATTGTCTTTTTTAAAGACTATTGTGATTTTTTAAAGACTATTGGTGATGTACTCATTTTTGGTAAATGTTATGTAATATATTTTTAATATTTTAAAAAAAGCTACGAAGCTGAAAAAAATAAAATTGAATGGTAGTGTAATATGAAATTTTTATTTTAATGCAAGCATGACATAATTTTCAATTTCAAGTGGACAGTTTATTTTTTAAGTCTTTGATGTTGATATCCATTTATATATCTCTATATTTCATATTATACTGATAACTTTTTTTTTTGGTATTATCAATTCTGATTTCTGACAATTTTAAAAAATTTATAGGTATAGCATTGGATTTATTAAATAATTTGGAAGGTTTAGCTCTTGCAAAAGATGAAAAGGATGAGACAGCCTTGCATGTCTTAGCTAAGAAGACTTCAAGTTTTAGTGGTAATATTTTTAAGCATTTAATATTTTTACTTTATCTACAGAGTAATGCTAATTGCAGTGGCTAAAATTTGTAATTACCAATTTAATTTATTGACTCAATAATTGATTAAGGGAATGAACTTGGGTGCTGTATTTTTTTCTTATTCAGCTTTTGGTTTCTTTTTGTTTAATTATATATATGATTCAGGTATGAAGCAGACTAAAGCTCTTCAATTGGTTGGTAAGCTGTGGAATTTGATTCTGCATACTGTTGACTCTGGGGTAGATATACAAGAAATAATCAAAGGACCATTGTTTGGTGCTGCTGAAGTTGGAAATTTTGAGTTTTTAGTTGTGCTCTTGAAGAAGTATCCAGATTTGATTTGGGAGGTGGACAATAGAAATAGAATGATAATTCATATCGCAGTGCTATATCGACATCCAAAAATCATGAACCTCATCCATGACATTGGTCCAATCAAAGATGTCATATTGACACTTACCGATATAGAAGATGGGAATAACATATTGCATCTTGCCGCAAAGTAACACCATCAAATAGATTTGAGTTGGTGACAGGCGCAGCATTTGAAATGATATGTGAGCTAGTATGGTTTGAGGTAGTTTGCCCTTATGTGCTTTCGGTGATTAATTTTAGATTTTCTAGCATCCTTTTCAAAAATGTGGATTCAAGCAATTTGAAATCACAAAATCTTCAATATTAGATATATGTATTTGCTTTAATTTATATCGATGCATTAATGTTTTCTAAGTAACATTTTAATATGGCAGGAGGTGAAGAAGATTGTGTTGCCCTTACATATTGAGAAGAGAAATTTGGAAGGCCTAACTCCTCAACAATTATTCAGTAGAGAGCATGCTAAATTACGACAACATGCAGCGGATTGGATGAAATTCACTGCAAGTTCTTGTATGCTAGTTTCATCACTCATTGCGAGTGGAATGTTCTCGATTGCATTCGGCATAACAGAGTATGCAAGTAATCCAACAAGTCTTACATTTGCAATATCTAATGCTCTTGCATTGGTCTCAAGTTTAATATCATTTGTGGCTTTTTTGTCTGTCCTCACTTCAAGATATGAGGAACATGATTTTCACAAATCTCTACCTAGAAAGCTGATGACTGGATTGCTGACTCTTTGCTTAGCCATATCATTCATGATGTTGGCATATTGCAGTGGCTTCTACATTACATACTTCGACGGCAAAAGGTGGATTTTTACTACCTTATGTTCTGTGGTATTGGTACCCATAATCATGTTTGGATGCCTAAAAGTCGAACTTCTTTATAGTATCATGCATTCGACATTTCTTGTGAGGCGTCTTTTAGTTCGACCCGGCAAACATAACCTTTATTAGACAAGCTGGGAACATTTATTGTATGCTTATGTGAACTCTTGAACAATTTAGTTTATATGGATCTTTACCTCTTCATTGTGAAAAAGATGGTTGAATTATGATCGAGTACTACATTGCTGAAGCTGTATATGAGAATCAAAAAGAAATGTTTTGTCACACCCCAAAATAGAGGATGACCGGCACGGGTGTGAATCACTTTCACATTCCTATAAGCCTTCAAGTGAATATTTATTTCATTTTTTAAGAAAGGCAAAATTCAATCAAATCATATGAAAATTTAAATAATTTCTTTAAATTCATTATCATAAGAAAGTGTCAACATTTTTGTAGAAATTTCGGCAGAACCTCCCCTGTAACTAGGATCTCCTGAAAATTCTACAACAATTTTTTTTACAAATAACAGTATAATTCAGGTGCGTAGCTCCTTCCAGCCAGCTATCAATATACAAACCAAAAATAAAGTTCATCAAGAACTTATGTGGAACATCTACTCTTTCTTTCAAATCAAAAAGACATACATACTATATATTTGTAATAATTCAAAATTTTTAAATGAAATTAAAATATAAAATAATATTTTTAATTGTATTTATATTAATTTTTTAAAAAAATTATTTTTATTGGGAAAGTATGTGATTTGGTGGAATTTCATTGATAATTAATATGCATCAGGTACAAGGTCTACAAGGTCAAATTACTTTTTAAAAAAGAAGAGATTTTTTTTATATGTCGGTTTCAGCTTTGCAAATTTACTATTTTAACCTCAAAAGCAATCAGATTTTTTCTCTTTCCTAGACCATTTTCTTTTCGTTTTCATTAGTCCATCAGAATCAGAAACAGAGGATAGAGACGCGAGAGAGAGTGAGATCCAGATTTGAGCCTCCATTCTCCTCCTTGCTTGGCTTTCCTCCTTCGCTGGTGAGTGGTGTATCGTCTTCCGCCGCTGCAAGGTGTCCCGACGAAGTGACTATCGGCCTTCTCCCTGTTGTGTCAGCTAAGAAACTGCCCTTGTTGACAGTGGGTGTCGGATCCTTCTCCCTCCTCTGTTCTTAGCGTCACCGGCGTGGGTGGCAAGGATTCGGCTTGCCACAACCTTCCTCTACCTATGCTTCACTTCGTTCAGGTTTTTCTGCCATCTCCTTCTGCTCTTCTTCCCTGACCGCTGTAGCAGATCAAAGACCGTTCCTCTTTTCCTCACCGGCATCGATTGCGTGGGGTAGAGTTGATCCTTTCTTCTATCGGTGCACTACTGTTGGTATTGCCATCGAGCCCCTCATTCATCGTCTTCCTCTGTTTCAAGTGCGTATGAGCTTCTCCCTTCTTGTTTGTTGTCTTTGTGCGTGTGATACAATGATGAAGATTATGATTTTTTTCTTTTATTCTGTTATGCTGTGCTGGTATGCTCAAATAGAGAAGGAGGGATTTGGGCAAGTTGAAATTTTTAGATTATTGAAGCTAAATGAAGTAGTCTAGATTTGAATTTTAACTAGCTTATTTTGATTTGGTTAAAAGAATGAAACTTACGAAGCGTAAGTAATCTTAATATTAATATGGGGAAATTTTGGAAAGGAAATTAAGCAAGAGGCTTGGTATTTGTTTGAAGTTTGATGCATATGAGATGTTTGATAAAATAGAGAATTTTGCTTGAGTATGCATCCATAACATTGTTATTGAGGTCTAATTTGAGTTTTGAATTCTCGAGGGTTTTATGGCGGATAATTTGTAAGATATGTTAATGTTTCAGAAGTTATATTTGGATGTTGGAAATTGTTGGGCAAGAGAATTAAAGATTACAAAGTTCTATTGTATAGTTTAGAATGTTACACATTAAATGTAGGGCAGAAAGCTTAAGAAGCAATTAAATGTTAATTGAGTAGTTAACTTTGGCTTGAGTGTTTTGAAAAAACTTTTATGTGTGAATTGTGGTCCAAAAACTTCAAAGTTATTATAGTTAATTTTGGTTGAGTAGGCTCTCTTGGAAAGGAAATTGTTGATTCAAAAGTAAAGTACATTAAGATCTTATTATGTTTTATAAGGTGTTTGTAAGATGGGTAGCTCGATTGAAGTATAAGAAGTGAGTTTTGAGCTTTGAATGTATTACAGGTAAGTGGATAATGTCCCAATCAATTTATATATTTGAAAATTTTCTTTTATCAACTATTATTTTTAATAATTTAAAGTCATTAACATATGCCACTCTAGCATTGATTAATGTTGTTGATTAAGTTGCTTTAGCTCTTGAAGTTATTATGATTTATACTTATAAGATTGGCAGAAATGCTTTTATAAATTCTAGTGCTCTTTTATTCAATAAAGATAAGCATGGAAATGGGTGAAGGAATTTATGGAACGTTAGTTGTGAATCTTCATATTTTAAAGGATTGATATTTTAAACAGTTCATGCGAGTTTGATATTGAGAAGAGAAAAGTTTATTTTGAAAGTGATGATTTTCTCGCATGTTTGAAAATGAATTTCAAGGGGATTTTATATAGAACACTGGTTGCTAATGGTAGTTCTGTTAGCCCTTGACACGCCATGGTATACTTAGCTAGCAGGGTGTTTATAGGAGGTGCTAGCCCCGTGCGATGGCCAACGCACGTGGAACGGAGGAATGGTTATTCGTGAGCATCGTACTCATGTTTGTTTCGTGGCTTTGGCCACGTTTGGTTAACATTACCCTCGTGGACTGTGTGTCCATTTTTGTTTTATGGCTTTGGCCGCATTTGGTTACTTACTCTCGTGGATTGTGTATCCACGTTTGTATTCATGGCATAAGTCGCGTTTGATTATTTACCCTCGTGGATTGTGTGTCCACGTCTGTTTATTGTTTTGATAAGTTCCTAAAATTGTGAATTTGATTATTTGGTGATTTTATATTCCATTGGTTTTTATTTAGTAAACTATTTATAAATATTTATATCATTTATGTGCTTTCTTGAAATCAAGTAACATTTGTTATGATAGTTTAATGATTTAAGATTTTATTTAAAATTTTATAGAGCCACTTTATTTTGAAGTTTATTAAATTTTTATGAAAATTGTTATCTATTTAACTTACATAATTATTTCAAACTTTTCTTTTTATTCATATTCAATTATTTATTGTCGGGACGTTATTCACTGGAAAGTATTTTATTTGGCCTCAGATACCATAGCTGATTTCGTACTCATTGCTGATCTTTGATGGGCTTGTTACTGAATTGAATAGAAGATTACTTTTGAGAATATCATCTTATTCATGTAAAATTCAAAAACTTATGTAGGATCTTTTGGAAGTTCGATTTAGAGTGCTCCACATCAACTATAGTTAGGGTCTTGATTTTTTTTATGTTAATTATGTGCTGCTGAGAAGCAAAGCTCTATATTGTTGGATATATGATGTAAACTTTTTGTTGTAGAAATTTTGAAGGACTCTACCTTTAGGGGTGGTGCTGCAGAAATTAAAAAAAAATGTTTGATATTTTGATTTATGTGAAAAGTAAAATTTGATACATTAATTCGGAACTTTTCTTAATTGAAGCTTTAGGGGATGTGAATTTGTACATATATCGCATGTTGGTCACATTAAAATTTTAGGACGTGACAATATTTACATTAAAGCAACAATACCAATTAAAAAGGTCTACCCACTATAGCTAGTTGCCCTTTAGAGGTCGATGGTGGGATCAGTGTCAGCTAACAAATCTGAGGTCAAAATAATTTTTCAGTGAATAACATTCCCAAAAAAATTCTTAAAATTTTAATCAATAATCTCTAATAATAGTATCAAATAGTTAAAACAATTCCACCAAAATTTATAAACATGTAAGTCATGATCATTTTTATAAAATAAAAGTAAATTGAAAACAATTTATGTTATCATGCTAAAAGAAGTCAATCTGCTCTCATATAACTCAAATGATACCAATTACTAGTCAAAATCAAGTAAATTTTGAAAACACATATTAATTAACATTTAAATTTTTGAGAACTCAACAGAACAGGTTACAAATGTGAACACACAATTCATGAGGGTAAATAACCAAACGCGGCTTATACCACGAAAACAAACGCGGACACATCAGTCCACGAAGATAAGTAATCAAACGCAGCCGAAGCTACGAAACAAACGTGGACACACAGCCTACGAGGGTAAGTAACTAAACGCGGCTCAAGCCACGGAATCAAACGCGGGTACGAAGCCCACGAATACCAAACGTGAGAATAAAACTCATGAAACAAACTAGCTAGTGTTTAACCACAGCGCGCTACGGGCTAACGGAACTGCCGTTAGCAACAGTGTTCTGTTTTGAGTCCTCTTAAAAATTACGTTTCAAATATGCGAGAAGAATAATTACTGCTGTAATAAAATTACCATTCTCAATGCCAAACTCGCATGAACTGTTTCAATTCTCAAAATTTGTAAAAATCATATTTTTATGGCTAATATACCAAACTTGCAGTAATTGATTAGCCAATACATTCCAAAGCTTAACAACCATACAAAAATACTTTCATCAATCTTGAAAATACATTTTTAAAAACAATAAATGCACGTATCATAACTCATTTTTCCTTCATTGATATTTCATAATTTTCAAAATTAATATAATTCGTAAGAATAAAATATTTCAGGAAAAAGACTATTAAAAATAAAAATAAAAATAAATTAAATTAAATTAAATGGAATGCTATTCACTTACTCGTCAGAACTTCAAATTCTTAAGGATATCCTTTCTTTTAATTCTGATCAGGGTCTCGTTCTTCCTCACCCCCTATCAAGATAAAAAAAATCATTCCATAGATTCCCAGTCTTTAGAAACAATTCCAAATTAACCATTCTCGTCTGAAATTTAAAGCTAAATTTATGATTTGAAATCGGTCCAAGTATTATCACTAATTCAATTACTTTCCTTGGTTATACAACTACAATATCCATTTAATTTAAAATACTCCTTTCTATGTATGCACATGTAATCACAAGGAAGGATGAATATTTAAAATTTCAAGCCCCAACCCACATTTATCATATATTGTTACTAAGTTCAAATGGGTTTTTTGCTTAATTTTTTTGCCTTCTCCTCTCTACGTATCAGTACAGGTGACAGCAGAAAAATTTGAAGCTTCCATAACTACACATAACCGAGAAGTAATAGCAAGGCACACACACTAACTTCTGCGATTTCACGTACACACACAGCACTTATATTCTTACGCACAGCAACAGAAGCCTACATGCACAACTCAGCAAAATTAATGACACAAAGATTGAAACTCCTCACCTCAACTTGACTGACCCAGGCAGCGACGGACAGCAAAGGAGGAAAAAGAAGGTCCTTAAATACTGAACAGAGAAGAAAATCGACGCTGCCACACGTTATGGAAGGAGAAAACGAAACTTGCAGTAAAATAGGGGATGTACGCCAATCTCCACTCACCAGAAGGAAGAGAATCGAATCAGCTGAGACAACCCAGCCCTTGACAGCACATCAACTTCTCCGGCGACTTAGCTTCTTATTCTGATAGTAAACCGAACTTGAGCGACGCAACCAGAACAGCAGACGAAAAGAAAAAAAACAGAGCCAGGAAATATGACAGTGAACCTCTTGGATGTTTCAGAGCTGCAACGTCCTCCACTCTCATAAGCGGCCACCAAAAACAAGAAAGGGAATCAAGGCACAGAAAAACGAAGAGAAGAAGTGCACCAACCTTCTAGACTTCTCTACCACTTTCTCATACTCTGTAAAACCGACTTAGATAAGAGAGAGAAGAGAAAATATATCTGAGGGAGCAAGGGTGTTTTGGTAATTTTAGAAGAGCCAAGCAAAGTAAAAATTCCATTTGTTACACCGGGGATTCGAACTTGGGACCTTCAGTTGCTCTAGCATGCATTCTTCCACTCTACCGACCTTTTATATTGGTATAACTATCTCAAATATAAATAAAATATATCCTTAAAAAAGTTATTATATGTTAAATAAATAAATAAATATATATATATATATATATATTTTTAAGGTTATTACATTCTTTCCCCCTAAAAAAAATTTCAGTCCTCCGAATTTAAATTTGTGCTTACCTTAATCCTCAAATAGGTGTGGATACTTAGCATGCATATCGGCTTCAATTTCTCATGTAACTTTTCCTGAGAATGATTACGCCATAGCACTTTCACCGAAGTGATTTCCTTCAATCGCAACTTCTTAAGTTGTCGATCCAAGATAGCCATTGGAACTTCTTCATAAGATAAATCTGGGGATATTTGAATTCCTTGAGTTTCTATCACATGAGAAGGGTTGTATAAATACTTTCGTAGCATTGATACATGAAATACTGGATGAATACTTGATAATTCAGGCGGTAACGCCAAACGATAAGCAACTGCACCAATTTTTTCTAAAATCTCAAATGGACCCACATACCTTGGGCTTAGTTTACCTTTCTTTCCGAATCTCATTACCCTTTTCATAGGAGATACTTTAAGGAATACCTTATCCCCGACCATGAATTCTAACTCCCGACGTCGATTATCAACATAAGACTTCTATCGACTTTGAGCTGTTATTAATCTTTCTCTAATTATTTTTACTTTCTCAATGGCATCTCGCACCAAATCTGGTCCCAAAAGCTTAGTATTGCCAACATCAAACCATCCAATAGGAGACCTACATTGCCTGCCGTAAAGTGCTTCATATGGGGCTATTTGTGTGCTAGATTGATAACTATTGTTATAAGCAAACTCTATCAAAGCCAAGTAACGGTCCCAACTGCCACCAAAGTCCAAAATACAAGATCTTAACATATCTTCAAGTATCTGAATGGTTCTCTCAGGCTGGCCATCAGTTTGCGGGTGAAAAGCAGTACTGAGATCCAATCGAGTGCCTAAAGCTTCTTGGAAAGATCTCCAAAATCGAGAAGTAAATTGAGGACCTCTATCAGAAATTATGGATATTGGAATCCCATGCAGTCGCACAATCTCATCAATATATAATTGAGCATATTTATCAACATTATATGTTGTCTTTACTGGAATGAAATGAGCTCATTTCGTCAGTCTATCAACAATAACCCAGATAGAATTATACCCCTTAGCAGTGCGAGGTAACCCAGTAATAAAGTCCATTGTGATATTTTCCCATTTCCACTCTGGTATTTTTAATCTTTGGTGTAGCCCAGCTGGCTTCTGATGTTCTGCCTTAACTTGCTGGCATGTCAAACAGCATGAGACAAAGTCTGCCACATCCTTTTTCATGCCACCCCATTAATACAGTTGTTTTAAATCTTGATACATTTTAGTTGCTCCTGGATGCACGGTATATGCAGAATGATAAGCCTCTTCCATGATAAATCGCTTCAAGTTTTCCTCTTATGGTACGCAAATTCTACCCTTGCACTTTAATATTCCTTCCTGGTCAATTTTAAACTCAGTGCTACTTCCAGCTATGATTGCTTCTTTTAACTTACATAATTTTGGATATGAGAATTAAGCGCTCTTAATTTGATCCATTAAAGAAGAACGAGCTTGTACATTAGCCAGAAATGGTCCCTTATCAATAATCTCAAACTTAACTCCACTTTGCTCAAGTTTATGAATTTCTTGCACCAAAGGCCTCCTTGTTAAAGTCATGTGCGCCAAGCTACCTATTTGTATTCTTCCACTCTACCGACCTTTCATAGTGGTATAACTATCTCAAATATAAATAAAATATATCCTTAAACAAGTTATTATATGTTAAATATATATATATATATATATATTTAAGGTTATTACATGTTTCAAACATATTTCCAGCACATTAACTTATTTCTAAATCTATGTTTGTGATATTTGGTTGCAATAGGTGGGTGAGTGATCCATTAGAGCACAGTTGATAGTACAGTCATGCATGAAAAAATTCAAATGTGCAAATAGTTAAAGCATTGAGTTATATATGTGTGTGTTAAAACATAAGGTTCTTTCGATGATAATGGGTGCTTTCATACTGGGTTTGAGACGAAAATACCCATTTCATGAATATGTATCTGCAGTACCTTTGTCTGCGGGTTTAATCCTTTTCTGATAGTTTATATCCATCTCCTTGATGCTGATTTTATAGAATTTGATTGTAAATTGAAGAAGCTTTATTTTATGTTGAACTAAGTAGCTTTATGCAAGTCCAATTGATTGAAGATATCTTTTTTATTTTGAGGGTAGTTAACTGGTTAGGCTGGTTATTTAGTTATGAATGAAAACTGAATAAAACACCATTTATCATCTATCAAGCAACGGGATTGGGAGCACAGTTTCTATGGCACTTCAGCACTGTGGTTCTTCTTTTAGTTAGGATTTGGAAATTTGTCCCATTCAAAACTAGTCTTTTTATTTCTCTATCTAGTTGCATGATACTGTATATTTGTTAAACCATTCAAGGTGAAGGAGCCCAATGACCAGGCTTGCTATGTATTGGTGGAGAAAGTTGAGCCAAATCTCTTGGTGTGTCTTTTAGCTTCA